TGGCTAGTTCTTATCATTCCATTCCAATTCCTCTTCAGACACCACTGCTCACTGATGCAGTCTTTGGTCATCGTGGTTGCTTATCTCCTGAACAATTTTCATCATAATTCACTTTTAGACTTCTGAGAAGAGACTCAAAACGTTCTATTTAACATATACTCAATCTATGTCTAGCTTTTCATTATTTAGCCTAAGTTGCTTAAACTGTCGGTATTGTTCCTAGAGCACCTGTGCTCTATTAACTAAGCCTATAAAACAATATCTATTTATTAATTATTTCTGCTATTAATAATATCCTAAGAGAAAGTTTTCTAAAGCTTATTCCTTTTACACTCTGTGGCATCTGTCCATGTGCCACGTTCTCCAGAGGTTCTCTCTGTGCTGGAGACCACGTCTCTGTATTGCACCTTCCCACCTTTGCTGGTGCCTTTGGTCAGAACAGGCTGTGCCAGCCGTGGTGCCACCACCAGCATCACACAGGGTTGTTAATGCAGCAGCTCCGCTTTTCCCAGCTCCAGCCCGAGCTTCCTCTCCCAGTAGCAAAAGGCAAGTCACCATGGAAACATCCACCTGGAAATACTCTGCTCAAAGGACGCGTGATTGTTAAGATTCAGCACAATCAAACCACTGGGATCTGTCCCAGGGATTTTGCCATCCGGGATTTTTCCATCTGGGTTTGCGGCGCTGCGGCGAAGCGCAGCAGCATCGCTCCCCGTGGCACCACCCACCGTACCCCGGCCACGGTGAGGAGGCTCCGTGACATCCACGTGTCCTCCACGTGACATCCCCGGCAGGTCTCGTCCCAGGCGCTGAGGAGACGAGGTTCAAGTGAGGTCGAGTGCCTTGAAAACTGATTATCTAGCCAAGTACTAAAAAGAGGAGGAAGGTGAGGAAGACATTTAAGTAGACATAAGTGCAGATGTTACTGCCTTCTAGGAGCTGTATTAAAATGTAAATTATAGTTAATGTCATCTTACAGGGAAGAAAAGCTCTTGAAATAAATTTCCTATTTTAAGGTACTAGTGAACTGCTGTGAGTACAGCAAGGCTGTAATTAGCCAGGTTCTGGCTGTTGCCTCTTTTGGCACTTAAAGGGGAAAAAAGGCCTTTGATAAAAAACAACCACAAACAAAATGTGTGGAGCTGCCCAAATCCCCTCTCCAGTTGAGCCTTTAGCCCTTTCCCAAAAGATGCCACCATTCAGTGAGGTGTGTTACCTCACAGTTTCGGGAGAGGTTTGTAAACTCCTGCCTCCACGCGGAATTCATGGCAGCCTGGTTTTCTTGGTGATGCAGTGAATACTGCAAGGCCTCTGAAGCCTCCTGAGCCCAGCACAGCCTCAGTTGATTCCATGAGTCAAAAGCTTGAGAAACTTCCAGATTTCACTTTCAGCTCTCTTCATTGAAATACTTTCCATGACTGGAGTAGCAGGGAGCTGAGGTACCCCAGGGAGTGGAAATCCCTGATGCATGAGGAGAACCACAGGATGCTTAAGGCCATATGGAAAACTGGCTTCACTGTCCCCACTGGGTTCAGACCATGCTTTCAGAGGTGTGGCAGACGTTTATGTTTTATTTTTAAAACTTTAATTTCCCTAATCAAAGCGATTCATGGAGTCTCCCTGTTCCTGTCTGCGCCCCATTTCTCTCATGTGGAGCACAGAAGCTGTAAAGGCATGAAGCCTCACCAGGTCCCAACGAAAAATCCCGCTTCTTGCCTTGGAAACAGTTTGCTGGTGGTGAAGGGAACATGGATTTCCACTGTCGGTTTGTCTGCTGCATAGATGCTGCAATTAAACTGTTGTTTCATGCTCTAGTTCTCCAGATGAATAGGTGCTGGGTCCCCGAAGGGAATCACAGTTACAGAAGGACAGGATCGCTGGGGCTGAAGGTGTCAGAGCTGCAGCTGCTTTGGGTGCAATTTCTGAGCACCTAGAGCAGGTTGCCCTGGGCTACCTCTGGTTGGGTTTAGAACGTCTTCAAGGCTGGAGACTCCACAGCCTCTCTGTTCCAGTCTTCGACCACCTTTATGAAGAAAAAAAGCTTTTACTTATGTTTAAATGGAATTTCTTGAATCTCAGTTTGCACCCACATGCATAAAGATTTATGTAGACTCAGTGGCAGCCTCCACTCCGGACCAGACCTTTATTAGCAGGGATAATCAGCCAGGAAGCTCAGTAATTACTCAGCCTGGAGCTGCCTGGTGCTGGCCTCACCTCACCTCGCTGCCAAGGAGCGGGCAGGGTAGAGGGGCAAAGCCAGAGGTGTCATCACTGTGCCCCAGCTCCCTCCTCCCAGACAGTGCCAGGAGTGGTGGTGGCAGGTCCCCTTGCCTCCCTGGTAGCCCTGTCTCATGGCCAAGGGGGTGCCGGGTGTGCCAGCTGCATGTCCAGGGCTGTCCTGGGACACTATGTCTGCCTACACCAAGCAAATGCTGTTTCTTGGAGCTGTGTGTGTGGCTGGCAGTAGCAGATGACAATGCTGGTAATACTTTAAAAGCATCTACTTGGGCAGGGAGAGGCTCACAAATTCATTATGTTGGGCAAACCAGACTGAGATTTAAGCTGCAAAGAAGATAAGAAGATTATTTCACCAAATCCCATCTTTGCTGGCTTCCTGGTGGCTTGTGCATTTCCCCAGAGAGGGGTCTCACGTGAAAGAAGGAAGCTGCTTTTCTAGGAGTTCAGGGTGGGATTCCCACTTGCCCATCTGCAGCCCAGCAGGCCAGGAATGCAAAACCTCGCTTTGGCTCGGTCGGTGCAGTCAGGACATGCTCTAACAGCAAGATTGGAGCCCACAGACTGAGCTCATCTCACACTTAGTGTTACACCGTGATCTGCAACTGAGAGACCCAACATCTGCACAGCCAACAACCCTTGCAAGAGCAGAACAACCCCCCAGCATCCTCTCCCTGAGCGGAAGAGATCAAATTAATGCAAGGGGCTGCTTTATGTTGCATGGGAAGGGCTGCAGGTTGCTACAAGGCTTTACACCCCCACTGCACCTTCTGGATCCCACCCCGAAGGACTGACCATCCCCATGGAGAAAGGAAGGCCAGGGGCTGGCCCACTCTTTCAGAAAAGGTCAGTATAGGAGTCCAGACCTCCAGGACTAGCTGTTGCTTCCACTCCATCCCAGCAGAGCCATTCCAGTGCACTCAAGCGTTAGCAACTAGCACTGAATGAACTCTTCCCTCTCATGACAGCGTTTGAGGCCAAAACCGGTGTGTGCTGATTGTGCTGCTCGCTAGCCCTGTCTCAGAGCCGTCCAGCATCTCTGCAAGCTTCCGTCCACACATCTCGGTCCAGAGGAGCAATATGGGAGCTCCCTCTGCTGCCTTGTCCACCCTGCAGACGGGGTGTGCTGGCTGCAGCCCCCTCCCCAGCACCTGGGTTTACTCCGACCTCCCTCTGCCACAGGCTGGAAACATCAGGCTGGAATTGCTAAAAGCAGCGAGGAGTTGGCTGCTGCCCTAAAAACCAGGAGCTGCTTAGGAGGGTGCTTCATGGCATCTCACAGAAGCAGATGTGTTGTCCCAAGTTGCAAGACTGGTGTTTCTTTTCTTCCTGTTAGGTGATTAAGTAGAGGTGATTAAATTATAATTAAACAACACATGATATGCTTGATTGCCCTGCAGGAGTCATCACCCCCCTTGAAGCCCAGGTTTGTTCACCACAGGAGACTTCATTTCACCTCCCCGTCCCTCGGACCATAGGGATGCTCACAGGAGGAGGAGGATGCTCCTCAGTCCAGGGGGGTCATTCAGGCGCTGCTGGGACTGACCAACTGTGGTGCTGAGGACACGACTGTGCTTTCAGAAATGTTAATCGCTGCTTATTGCAGCTTTTTCTATCACACTGCAGCTGCAGATGCTGATGCGAAGCTCAGCTTTACTGTCTGTAATATCCTGAATAGCTGCGTAGCTTTGTTCAGTCCTAGTGGGGAACTTTACACAGCTTCAAAGCTCTTCCAGAAAACAAAAAAAATAAATTATCTGCTGTGAGCACGTTCCTCTAAAGCATAAAATCTCTCTTCCTGAGCTGTTCTGGCAATCTCCCGTGACAGAAATCCCACTGACACCAGGTGCTGTCTCCTGCAGGGACTCAGCATGAGGCACCAGCCAACTTTCAAATCCATCCTCGTGGTATCAGAGCCTGAGCCCCGTCCTCCCCGCTGTGTTTCAGGGATGGTCAGCGGAGCCCACAGGCACCGGCCAAGCCACACACTTGCTTGTACTCCACTGCTGGGATGCAGAAACACATTCCCCTGGGGGAACCGTCTGGGGGTGCAAAAAGATGTGATTTAACATTTAACAGGCAGGGCTTGACGTGCTGTAGGGAGCCCTGTCACAAGGCGAGCAGGATTTATCTCCTCTCGCTGGCATACCTCTCCCTCTGAGCTCATCAACAGACTCCCGCTGCAGCCGGTGGAGAAAATGAGGCAATTCTGCAGCGTGGTCCCTCTCAGCTGATGGGCAGGTGAGCATCTCAAACAGATCGTTACTCAGAGCTGAAGCTGGGGGAGCTGATACGTTTGTTCCTCTTGGAAATACCAAAATGCCAGGCTCGCTCCTCGCCCGGGGTGGTTGGATGCAGCTGCCCCGGAGCCAACCCCGCAGCCCGGCTGCCTGCCGAGGAGGGATGGGGCAGCCCCGCAGAGGCTGCAGCAGCAGTTGTGTATACGTGGAGGTAGGCACTTGCTTTGCATGGAGTTCATAAGCTGTCATTTGAAAGCTCTCTTAATTAAAAGACAGAGCGTGGAACTGCCCTACTGCTTTGAATAATTATGTGGGTTAATGATTTTAAGCTAAACAAGCTGCTTGTTCACCAGGTTTTCAAAGATCTGAAATTCAGCGTATGAGTCTTGGCCAGTTCTGCCTTTTTCTCTTCCCTTGAGTCTTTGCCTCCCATTGCATCACCCTGTGCCACCCAAGGCCCGTTTGCCCCCCATGTCCCCAAACCCCACAGCTCTGTGCAACGCTGCTTTCCTTGTCCCATTGCAGGTGGTACGAGACCAGATTTCTCACTGCACGGTCAAGCTGCGCCAGACCACGGGCCTGATGGAGTACTGCCTGGAGGTCATCAAGGAGAACGACCCCAGCGGCTTCCTCCAGGTTGGTGTGAGCTGCTCATGTCTGGGCTGCGAGGGAAGCGAAAAGGGCATAGCACAGCTGAGGGCCTCGGGGTAACGCAGTGGAGTTGGGGGAGTTACACCAAGAATGATTTCCCCAGCTTTTCCAGCCATAAAAACAAGGGCCAGCCTCTCCTCGCCACCAGGTTTGTAGCAGGACAAGCAGACCAAGGCCAGGGACATTTCTTGCTCTGATCATAGAAGGTTGCAGTGGGTGGTGGTGTGTCTCTGGAGCAGTAATGGTAACGTGCTGTCTCGTGGCTCTCCAGAGAGAGACAGACTTACAGCTCTTGAGAACTGCAGCCCACCTTTGGGCTGGTCCCTTTGGTCTTAGACACTGCCTTTAAAATAGTCACAGAATCATCTTGGTTGGAAAAGCCCTTTAAACTACTCCAGTCCAACCATGAACCTCACCCTGACCGTTCCCAACTCCCCCAGATCCCTCAGCGCTGGCTCAGCCCGACTCTTCAACCCCTCCAGGGATCCCGGGGACTCCCCCCTGCCCTGGGCAGCCCATTCCAACGCCCAACAGCCCCTTCTGCACAGAAATCCTTCCTCAGAGCCAGCCTGACCCTGCCCTGGGCAGCTTGAGGCCATTCCCTCGGGGCCTGGCGCTGGCTCCTTGGCTCCAGAGACTCATCCCCCCTCTCTGCCCCCTCCTGGCAGGGAGTTGCAGAGGGCCAGGAGGTCTCCCCTCAGCCTCCTCTTCTCCAGACTGAACCCCCCCAGTTCCCCCAGCCGCTCCCCAGCAGACCTGTGCTCCAGACCCTGCCCCAGCTCCGTTGCCCTTCTCTGGCCACGCTCGAATCATTCAATGGCCTTTTTGGGGTGAGGGGCCCAAAACTGAACCCAGGAATTGAGGGGCGGCCTCACCAGTGCCCGAGCACAGGGCTCAGATCCTTTCCCTGTCCCTGCTGGCCACGCTATTTCTGACACAAGCCAGGATGCCATCGGCCTTCTTGGCCCCCTGGGCACACTGCTGGCTCATTATCAATTTCCACCCCCCCTCACACACACACACACACACACCCCCGCCCCGGTCCCTCTCTGACTGGCAGCTCTCCAGCCACCCCTCCCCAGGCCTGTAGCGCTCCTGGGGGTTGTTTAACCAAAGTGCATAAAAAGTCCCCAAAGCTCCTGGCATCCCTCTGCCAATCCAAGCCTGCAGCGAAGGGCGATGCTAGAAACCATGTGTGCTATTCCCCTGCCTTTGGCAGTCAGGGACAGAAGTGGCAGCTTGGGAGGCACAAGGAAGGAGAGCAGGGAAGGGACAAAGCACAACATGTGGGCCTGTGTAGCTGAGGGTGCTCCTTGCCACCAGATCTCCGACGCTCTCATCAGGAGAGTGCACTTAACCGAGGACCAGTGGGGCAAGGGGACGCTCACCCCACGGATGACCACGGACTTTGACCTGAACCTTGACAATGCCCCTCTGCTGCAGTCCATCCATCAGCTCGACTTTGTGCAGATGAAAGGTAAGAATATTTCCAGTGCTTCTCATGCAACTCCTCACAGGGAAGGGGCAGGAGAGGAGGTATTTCTCATCTCCCAGCAAGATTGGACCCCACAGACTCAGAGTTAAACCCATTCCTGTGTGCTCTGCACCCCTGGGCCAGCCATCTGCCTCCCTGTCACGGATCCCTGAGCAGCTCTGTGCCAGACTCAGGCAGTAGGAGCTCAAGTTCGCCTGGCAGTGCATTAGAAAGCGCTCTGAAGGTTGGGACCATGGTCTCTGGAACAGCACAAGGCATTTCCCAAATCTGTCTTCACACACATGCTCGCTTGCACAGTGCTGAGCAGCATCTGGCTTGGGTCAGCTAGCAAGCTGCCTGCCCCCAAACACGAAGGCACAAAGAGCCACGCCACTTAGCTTGGGGCCTTTCCTCCCTCCCATCTCTTCCCTGTTGTTTTAGACCTTTGGTTTAGTTTTAATTTCCTCCTTGTTCTCCGTTCCCTCTGTGCTCATTCTCCCGTACTCCAGAGAGCCACTGCATTTGCATCGCTTTTCAGGAAGCAGAGAGCTGCTGCAACCTGTGAGCAATTTGCAATTTGGCAAGCCCTGGGAAGCTGCCAGAAGATGCAAATGGGGGCTGAGGCACAGGGGAGCTCAGGAGGACACTGAACATAGACCTGTACCTTCAGCTGGTACAAATGAGCTGCCTGGAGGAAAGGCCACCAGCTGCGGGTCTGGCATGGCTCTTCGTTGCCCCTCATGGCTCTTCATTGCCCCTCATGGCTCTTCATTGCCCCTCACAGCTCTTCGTTGCCGTCACGGCTGGATTTCCTGACTCAGGAGCCATTTGCACACACCAGCATTTCTCAGCGGTCAGACACAGGAAGGCTGTTGACCATGCGCTTCCTCTGTAATGATAACGAGCATCTTCAAATAATGGCCCTGCTGGTATTCGCTGCAGTGAGAAGGCTGTGTTGGACACGGCTGCTGGAAGCTCTCAGAGCTGCCCGTCGTTAGCCAGGCCATTAATTTGGAGTGTCAGGAACATTTTTTGATAGCGAGGCAAGCCAAACCCAGGGAGGGATGGATTATGGTTTTGATTACATACCAGTTGTGGAGATGTTAGCATGTTCCTGCCCTCCCTTCTTCCAGTTTAGCCCAGAGGGTTATTTTAATTAATAAGAGCAACTCTGCTGCTAGTTTAGCTGCCCGCCCTCCTCTGTGGAGTTAGGGCAGAGCTGACAGAGGCCGCCCTCTCCTCTCACCCTCGCTGTGGAAATAAGTTTCATAGACTGCAGAAGGTTGGGTTTGGATCCCAAACACATGTTGCAGCACCAGGGGAGGCAGGGCAACACCAGAGGTCTCAATGAAGAGCAGGGCTGAGCCATAGTACAGGGCATCCCTCATCCCTTGCCAGCACACGCTGGGCACGAGCAGCATCCCTTCTTCTGTCACATGAGGGCTTTCTCCACATTGTTTCCCCAGACCCTCAGCCTGAGGGTTTCTGCTGAGGATACGGCCCCAGGAGGTGGAGGAGTCGCAGAGGGCAGTGGTGAATGGTAAACCTTTGCCAGTGAGTCTGTCTTTTCTCTCCCAGGCATCCGTGTGCTCCTCCATATCTTGTCTCGATTCTCCATGTCTTTTCTTCACTGGCTCTCATCAGCCTTTGGGCAGTGAGGATGAGGATGGAGGACGAGCAGCTCTATTGAGAGGTTTGGGAGGGCTGTCCCTGACCGAGGGATGGGGTGTACCAGTGGACATCCTCTTTCCCTGTCGTGCTGTCACCCCTCTGTGCTTTTCAGAGCAGCAGGCGACTGCGTTACACATATACAGATCCCCAAATACAGCAGCCTGATCAGAAAAAAGCCCTTTATGTCCCCTGTGTGGCTGCTGGGAGGCTACAGGGTGCTCAGCCTCCCACCTTCAGCTCCAGAGGCGTGTGGAGGCTGCAGGCAGGGACTGCCTGGTGCCGGTTTGGAGACCTCTCTGATATGTGCTTGTGCCCCTCGTGCCTCCCCGGGAGGTGCTCAGCAGCAAGGGGTGTTTGCTGGTTGGAGGGGCAGCTCTGGGGGCCCCACAGGAACCCCTGGAGTGGGTGCTGTGCTTGGGACAGAGTGGAGAGACCCTGAGCCTTTTCTGGCAGGTCGTGGGCAATCGCCCTGGCACTGAAACAGCATCATTGAGGGACACACTCAGCTTTCCACCAAGTTCATGTGGTTGCCTCCCCTTTTAGGACAGACTCTACCATGGCAAAATGATCAGGTGCTCCCTGTTCTGCAGGTCCTGAGGCTCATCTCTGCTGCTCATATCGCTTGTTTTGTTCCATTAAATTTATTTGGTGGAAAAGCAGAGCGGGACTTGCTGCTGGGGTGTGGGTAAGGCCAGGCACACAGCTGCTCTGCAGAGCATGTGGGAGGGTGTCTCAGGTTTGGGACCAGCTGCTGGGAGAACTCCAGGCAGTTCTATGCCAGATATATTGTTGCACTGCTGTATTTTACCAAAATGTATTAAAAACCAGGAAGAGAGCAGAAGAGCTCTGGGGGAATCTCAGCTTCACCAGACTGCAGGCTGGAGGAATTTGATGGAGCTTGTTTGGAGAACGGTCCTTTCTGCTTCCTCCCCACCTCACACCCACGAGATCGCAGTAACATCCCTTGTACCACGCAGGCTTCTGAGGCAATAAATGCATCTTCCGTGCTCCAACCGAGACGTGCGTGCTGTGGCTATCACCGTGCTCCCTCTCTGTGGTGCTAGCAGCCAGGGTTACACTAATTTGTGTTTAGTTTCCTCCCCAGTGCCGGCCCCTCCGATCCTGCAGCTAGAGGAGTGTTGCACCCACAACAACAGTGCCACTTTGTCCTGGAAACAGCCCCCCTTGTCGACGGTGCAGGTGGAAGGCTACATCCTGGAGCTCGATGATGGCAACGGCGGCCAGTTCAGGGTAGGTGCTCGGAGCACAAAGCCTGTCCCAGTGGTCAGGTGTTACTCCTGGTTCCAGTATTTCCCTGCCACGAAGCAACCAAAGAGTTCCCCAGGCTTTTTGCAAATCCCCTCCTTCCCTGGAAACATGAGACTCACTGCTGAGGTGCCCAGGGAAGCTGATGGTGCAGACAGGCTGTGGGGTTTTTTGGGGGGGCAAGGTTATTTGAAGGGATGGAAATACCTTCTGGTGCCCAAAATGACTTGGAAATGCAAAAAGCACATTTGAAGCTCCATCTTTTTAGGTTGCTGAATATTTCATACAAGGTATGCTAATTGCCATGAGAGTCATAGTTTGCCAGCTGCCAGCAAGAAGAGGTGTTTAAGGCCTGAGGGCTTTTAAATTGCTGTAATTACACAATTAAAATAGGATTTTTCTCTGATCCAACACGCTGATAATTATCCTAGCATCTTCAAATCCACTGAGGGCAGACACAGGGACCAGCCCATCGTATTTTCTGAATTCATCCACAGGAAACTCAGGCAGACAGGAGCCAGAGCAGAGTCAAGGCAGAAGGGAGGTGACATGAGTGGGATCTGGAGAGAGAATGGAGCAGGAGGCTGGGTTTGGGGAGACCAAGGCTCAGCACAGCCACCCCGGCAAGGCGAGGGCAGTTCCTCAGAGTGGAGTCTTCTCTCGGGAGGCTTCGATGTGCCCAGGAGTGCCACTGGGATTATAGAGGGCTGCTCCAGACACAGCCAGTGCCACATCTCTGACTTCTCAAATCACTGAGCCATTCTCCTGCCCAAAAGCAGTGAGCTGACCTTGTCAGGCAGCAATTTCCCCAGGGAGCTGGGAGTGCCAACTGTCATATAGGTGAGAGTCCCTGCCCAGAGCAGGTCAGTGTGTAGCCCAGCCTCTTAGCTACCTCCCTCACAGACAGGCAGGAGAGTTTGGGACGGTGTCCTGAGGCAAGAGGAGGACTCTGCCTTTGGGCATCAAGCCCCAAAGGGGCTCCTTGCAGTGAGCCTGGGGTGGTGAAGTGGGAGCTGTGCTCTCTCTCGTGGGGTGCCAGCTGCAGGAGAGCTCTGGGGGTGCTGGAGCCCAGGTAGATCAGGGCCACCTTACTGTCCCATCCCTAGTCTCACCCAGTTCGTTAGGACACCTACACTTTGCTCCTGGATCCCAAGCACTGACCTGTCACTGTTTCCAGGTCCGCTGTGGCTTGGGCCACTCCTGGCTGCAATCAGGGTGGCAGGAGGAGTGGAAGCCATCATCTCTGCTCTGCCATGCAGGGGAGCGTGTGGTTATCACAGCCTGGGCTGGAAGCCCAGAGAATCGCAAGGGTTCTGTGATCCCCTCGGGTTAAATTAAGGTGAAATCACACCAAATGACCTGTTAAAATGTTTTACTTGCGGTAGAGAACAATTTAAACTTGGAAAAGGATAATAAGCAATGTGGTCTCTTATAAATCTGTAAGAAAGAAAAGAAAGGAAAGGCAAAGAAAGGAGAGAAAGAGAGTCAAAGGAATCCTGATCACCACCCCTGGATCCAGCGTTGTCTCAGGTCAGGTAATCCTGGGTGGTGGGTGCACACACAGCAAAGTTTCTGTTGCCCTTTTGAGTTCATCTCAGTAGCTGATTAGCTAATGATGAGAAGGGGCAGGTATTCCACAAATTCATTTCTATGAGAGATGAGGAAAAAGGTGCAGCCTGGGTTCCAGTTGAGTCGGTGGTCGTTACCCAGCTTTGGTTCTTCCTCTGTTTGCAGAGATCTTATCAGTCATCCCAGAAATGATCCCCTCTTACCATTTGTCCTTGTGCTTGAGGGGAAACACCTGGTTTCACTCAGTCCATGTCTCCCCCTCTGAGGCTTATCTAAGGAGTTTGTCAATGCAACTGCAAGGGAGTGGGGGGTGCATCCTTCAGTACACTCCCGCTTCCTTGGCTGACATTCCTTAGCCTAATCCAAAGGCCACAGCTTGTCCTTGAGATATTCCATGTTAATGAATGTTTGAGGCATTACTTCCTTCAGTTCCTTACAGCAGGCACCACTCTAAGCTCTGGTGACGTGCACCAACCTGCAAGGAAAGGGGCCAGATTCAAGCGTTGGCTCTGGCAGCACCAGCACCCCATCGCCCCGGCAGCTCGGGCAGCGAAGCGCGGCGGGGTCTGGAGCAGGAGCGGGACAGGGAAGCTTTCCCACCTAGGAGATCTGCCTGTGCAGAGCCTCCGTCTGCGCTGCAAAGGACAGCAGGCAGGGCTTTGTCATGAGATCTGCTAATTACAAGTCAACTTTTTGTGAGCTTGGTGTTTCCGTAGCTTGTAGGCCTGTTCACCATGCCCATGTGGTGTGATCACCTTGTTTTCTTCCAGGGAATGGTCTGATCTTAACACCCAAGAGCGTTCAAAATAGTTTTCTGCAGGGGTGTTTCTGTGTCCTGGGCTCAGTCTGTAGACATTCTCTGGCAGAGCTCTTCCAGGATTCAGTGGGAGTTTGGCTGGGATTGATGCCTTGTGGCTTGCTCCAGTATGAATAGCATCTCCACCCCCTACAGAAACTGGTTTTATGGCACAGTATTCACAGAATCATGGAATCACAGACTGGTTTGGATTGGAAGGGACCTTAAAGATCACCCAGTCCCACCACCTGCCCCAGGCAGGGCCACCTTCCACTAGCCCAGGTTGCCCAAAGCCCCGTCCAACCTGGCCTTGAACCCTTCCAGGGAGGGGGCAGCCACAGCTTCTCTGGGCAGCCTGTGCCAGGGCCTCACCCCCCTCACAGGGAGGAATTTCTTCCTTACATCTCATCTAAATCTCCCCTCTATCAGTTTAAAACCGCCACCCCTCATCCTGTCCCTCCCCCTGATGACGAGTCCCTCCCCCCTTTCCTGCAGCCCCTTTCAGCCCTGGGGGGCCGCTCTAAGGTCTCCCCGGAGCCTTCTCTCCTCCAGCTGAACCCCCCAACTCTCCCAGCCTGTCCTCACAGGGGGTGCTCCAGCCCCCCCAGCATCTCCATGGCCTCCTCTGGACCCGCTGGAGCAAGTCCGTGTCCTTCTGCTGTTGGTGCCCCAGAGCTGGACCCAGCCCTGCAGGGGGGTCTCCCAAAGTGGAGCAGAGGGGGAGAATCCCCCCTCACCCTGCTGCCCACACTTCTCCTGATGCAGCCCAAAGTATTGTCAGGAAACAAATCATCGGGTCATTTTGCTGTGCTTTATACACAGAGCTCCTGAGCCTGCCCCAGGTAGCAGAACACAGCTGAACCCTGGGCACCACAACCGCCGGGAGCCGTTCTCCCACCGCTGGGACTCCACAGTGTGTGAGCACTGATTACACTTGCTTTGCAGGAGGTGTACGTGGGCAAGGAGACCATGTGCACGGTGGATGGGCTTCACTTCAACAGCACGTACAGCGCACGTGTCAAAGCCTTCAACAAAAGCGGAGTCAGCCCCTACAGCAAGACCCTGGTCCTCCAGACATCTGAGGGTAAGGCATTGCACCAGCTCCAGCCCCACGCGCTCGGACGCTGCTCACACGCGCGCGTGGGGCCCAGCCAGCACACCCAAGCTTAGCACTGCGATAAGGGAACCGCTCCGCTGGTCCTCCAGTACCTCAGCACTTCACTGCAGGAAAGCGGGAGGGGAAAGGTTATGTCAGGAGCCTCGAACAGTGTCAGAATTTCTCTCTCACCCCTTTCCTTCTTGCAGATGTTCTTTGGGGAGGTACAGTGAAAGGCATCCCGCAGAGAGGTGTTGAAAATTTGGTTGCAGCAGGGTTTGTATTACACAAAGGGAAGCTCAGATGCTTTCATTAATCCCAATTAAAATAAAACAACACTATTGCTGTTGCTCCTGAGACACTAAAGTGGCTGCACAATGCCATAACTGCACAACATCTCCAGCCCCTGGCAGTGCACGACAGGGAGCAGAGGGACCATGGAGCTGCATGGGCGTCCTGGCAGACCCCCGGGTCTACGGTCAGTCACGCCAGCAGCGGCTGCATCGTCCCAGCACTGGCAGGCACTCAGAATATCAAACACCCTCCTGCAGGTTGCAGAGGAGTTCTCCCTGTCTGACTTGTAAGTACATTTGTCACGCCAGGCACTTAATCCGTCACGGAAAATTGGCTTGCTTCTGACACGCAGGTGGAGAGTTGAGAAACAAGGCAGGAGTCAGAAGTAGCGGGCGATGCAGCCGTTGAGGAACTAACTGGCCCCCACCAGCCCATCCGCCGCCCTGTAGCCTTGCTGTCAGGCAAGAAACCCTTCCTTGGGAGTTTTCCACACTCGGTAGAATCCCTTTTTCTTACTCCCAGGCTAAAATCTCCCTTTTCCCAAGCTGTGTGAAGATCTATTTCACAGCAGCGTGTTCCTGCAGCCCCAGCTGCTGCCAGCAGACACGGTCTGGGGACAGGAGGGAGCAAACGCAGCTCATGGGGCTGCTGGTGGTGTGGAAGGAGGGTGAGAGCCTTCTTGCCACAAATTATCTCTGATGGCTTTGAACAAGGAGAAAAAAGGGTTTTCTGCTGAAAACTGGTTTACAGATGGAAGCAGAGCAAGGCTATGCAGGGCGTTTTCACTTGCTTGCCTGCACTCATCTGCAGGAGATAACTGTTCCCATTCGGAAAGGACACGTGCAAGCTTTGAACATGTGGGGACTACAGGTTGGTGAGGAGCAGGACTCACGTGTGACAAGTGGAGTGGAGAGCAAATCTGTGACAAACCCTTCTCATACGAGAAGCAGAAAACTCAAACGACAAGCCACAAAGCCTCAGCACTTCTGTCCAAGAGCTGTGTCCGTGTTTGCAAAGCTGGGCACCGGTGTCAAGGAAGCTGCAGTGTTCCTCTGGAGATCCAGGGATGGGACAAGCCGGATCCAGCCCCGCATAGGGGTGGCCAGCACTGCTCCCAAAGCCTCAAGTTCTCACCCACTTCACTACCAGGCTTCACCAGCCTTTGCAGGAGACAGCAGAGCTTTGGCTTTTCATCACATTTGTGTCTCATAAGATCCATCTGAGACACAGTTTCTTAACCAAAACCAGTTGGGCTTTAAGTCATCCCAGCCAGGAGTTTGTAGGGGGTACCCTATGACCCTTCCAGCTCTGCTTCCCCCTCATAGGTGTTTTCACTGTCGAGCCAAGCTCATCAATTGTGCAGCTCTAAAATACGAAGAAACCTGGGAAAAAATAGCTGTTCATAGTCCCAGCAGGCCAGGCTGTGCTTGGGGCCTTGGTTTGTGCTAGCAAGCAGGCTTCTCACTTTTCTGAGCATCGGCTCAAAGTTCTCTGCATTCAGCCTTTTCACCAAATGAGCTTTTGCATTTGTTATTCCAGCACAAAAGAAAGAAGGAGAAAAAGTCATATGGGCCTGGAGCATTTTCTGCTTTTAGAGGCCGTCTGCTTTTTGGACTATAAGTGAAATAAATTACATCTCTGTGCAGCTTCCAGATACCCGAGTGACTTGTTGAATAGAACCGCCTTGCACATCACAGCTCTCCAGTTAAGCTTTTATTTCTGGCCTTTAAAGCAGCATCAGGCCTTTAAGTGCTATTTTGTGTAAAGTAGGCTTAGCTTTCCCCTTCAGCCTGCTCTGCAGATTGCTGCAAAGTGTTCGTGTGGGAAGAGGGGACAAAAAAAGAGACAGGCTTGATATGAAGAGAATATCTCTCTAAACACAGCTGTCCCGCTGGAAGTGGTTATGAAAAATTCTGCTTAGAGGGTGTTATTTAAAAGCTGGCTTCTAGTCCTAGGACACAAGGTCCTTATCCACAGCCTGTGGAAGTTAACTGAAGTCTTTCTTCTGAGTTAGGTGAACAGTGAAATGGTCTGTAGAGGCTAGCAGGGAGTGAAAGGTCTCACAGGGTCTCAGCATCTGAAGAGAACAAGGATGAGAAGAGGGTAAAATTGTGTCTGCAGGCATGGCTCTGTGGTCCTGCCCAAGGTGAGCCAGGCAGCACCAACGGGAATGTCTCATGGGAAGTCAGCACCCATGCAAGCCCATGGCGTGGCACGTCATCTCCTGCTCATCCCAAAGGAAACTACATTTTCCAGCTGAGGAAATGACAGTTCAATCTTCAAAGCTGGTGCTTGGTGCCACCAGCAAGGCAAGGTGGGTCCTGTCTGGGAGAAGGTCTGAAGCCCTTCGCACATGCTGGGCCCTCCACGGCTTCCCAGGGATGAAGATCCCCATCATCAGCACAGCCAAATGGCAGCAAGGGCTGCCGTGTCCTTGCCTTGAACTGTGTCCCGTCCCTACTCGGTGTCAGGCTGTTTCACAGCAGCCCTGGAATTATCTCTTGCCCTGTCACAGCTGGTACCTCCCAGGACCGTCACGACAGGTCCCAAGGCACCGCGATGTGGGGCCTGGCTTAGCCTCTCTGTTTCTTCAGCACCTGTGTGAAGTTCAGCTGTAGGTTTGGAAATCAGTCTGGAGGAAAGTTTGCAAGGTGACCCTGTCCTTAGGTACAGACATCTTACAAAGCTTGGCTGGTGACAGCACTGCTGGGCTGCCCTCTCCTCTGCGAGACCTCAGGTCTCCTGCCAGCCTCTTCTTCTCAGGGCTGAGCAGCCCCAGCTCTCTTGGTCTTTCCTCATCCAGCAGATTTTCCAGCCTCTGGCCACTCTTGCTGCTGCCTTTGGGACCCAGTCTGTTTTCCAACTGGCGCTTTCCCATTTTTACCCTGTGGTTCCTTGGTGCATTCATGGCTGTGGCAAGAGCAGCCTCTGAAGAGGCCTCGCAGAAGCCCCAGGCTCCTGTCTGCTGGTCACGGCAGGATGCAAGTGGCCACTCTTAGGAACAGGCACCTAACGCGTGGTGGCAAGGAACAGAGGAGGAGATGTCCCAGTTGCCATGGGATTAGAGTCTGCAGGAGGGCCAGCTGCTGGGCTGCTTCTCTCTACAAGGATTTCTGAGATGGCTTCTGCGTTCCTCCAGTCTTGTTTCTTTCTATGGGCTGTTCCTCAGGGTGGATGATGGGATGAAGGACCAACTCTCTCCAGGTGGAGATGGAGAAAAGGAGCTCGGCAGTGTTGGAGGGGACTGTCCCTGCCTGCTGCCCAGGCCCAGATCTGCACTCCTGGCTGGTGTAAGGAGGTTCAACCTCCCTCCTGCCAAAACCTGATGCCCCACTCTCACCCTTCCTCAGGTCTCGTTGCCCACACCTTGACCCTTCCACTGGGCTGCTTCATGCCTTCAGCCACGCTCTCCAGCTGTGCACAGAGACATCAGTGCAGAGGAGAAGCCGTGTCTCCACCATCTTCTCTCAGCTGTTCTGAATCTCCAGCCTTAGGCACGGCTGCAGGGTTTCAAGGCAAGCCTGGTTTTGGCTTCTTGTACCTTTGGTGAGACACAAGCCTAGGAGCAGTCCCCTCTCCTGGGTTCCCAAACTTGGCCAACTCTGCCAACACCGCAAGCAGCCGCTCCCGTCCGCCTCTGCCACCCTGGGGATATGGCGAAGGGGCTTGGGCACCAGAGCCTGAGACCCCTCCCCAGCCTAGTTGAGCACCAGAAGCTTTTCTCTTCTTTCAAACCCAGTTCCTCATCTGGGGCCCAACTTTTAAGTTCCTTACCAGCTGTGGAGTGACCCTCAGCAGCAACCAGGGCTTTTTAACCATCAATTTTTGGAAAGGGGTGAACAACACAAGGAAAAATAGTCTGCAAGGAGCTATAGGAACGTAAGACGCTAGTTAGGGAGAGCCAGGAGCCCAGCTACTCTTGATGGTAGTTCCTTTCACTCTTGGGAGATGTTAGAGGGCACATCGAACCTTGAGCTCCATTTATTGACCTGTTGTGCAGTAATTTATCTAACTCGTGTCTGAACCCACTGACACTCTTTGCTTCCACAGCTGCAGAAGTTACAAAGAAATGCACAAAGAAATGTTTCCTTTTATTCATTTTAATGTGATTTCCATCTCAATCCGTTTTCACAGCTGAGACAGGGAGGCTGGGGATACAGTGCTCGGGAGTGTATGTTATTTGAATATGTGGAGGATGCTGGATTCTGTATTTTCACATTAACATATCCCTTGACAAGGCTAGGGAAGAAATTGCAGGAGGTGACTGTGGTAGCGGGGAACGGAAACTGATGACCCAAGAGGTTCCCTCTACTCTGACATTTTGCTGTGAATCACATGAGTTAAATTCTTACTGTAAGGCTCAGATGTGTTTTGACAGGTACAAAGGGATACCAAGAACACAACATCCCGAACAACCTTTGAGTAAGGTGGGTGCTTGGTGGTACTTAGGGTAATATAGCTTAGTACAGCCCTGCCAAATGCCTTTCAGCATTATCAATGGCTAGTTTTCACGCCACTAATTATTGTGCACAAAAAGGTATGAGATTTATTAAAGAACAATGGGAAGTGTGCATGGTAACTTGTGAATTTTTTTAGGTGCGTTCCTGTGAAGAGGTGCAGGACTCACTTTAAAGAAAAGCGTATTGAATTTGTCATGATGACATGGGAACATTTTGGAAGATGAAAATGTTTATTGCCGATACTGTCGGAGGCAAGGCTTTCCTGAAGGGTCTCGCTGGGTTGCACAGCACCAGACATTTCTGCTCCGCGCACCGTACGCACGCTCGCTGCCGCAAAGCAGGGTCCGTGCGTGCTGAAGCGTCTGTGCTCTGCTCTCGGGCGATGGAGTGACACCGTCCAGCAGACCCGATTTCTGATCTCTAGTTTGCATTGATCTTACGTTTAGACACGCAGTCAGAAGAACAGACCCTCCCTTTTCCAGTGCCTTTGGAAAGATCGCAGCTTCGTAGAATGAGTCCTTTCTCCTCCACCCTTAATCTACAACCCAGCTTTCCGGGGAGATCCTACTTTGAGCTAAGATCTTCGGCCCACCAGCTGAGCTTGCATTCTTCTTTGCAGTCCCTGAATTCAGCTGGTGAGCCGAGTGCCTCTGGCATTTCCTCTTGGTCTGTGCTTCTGGGCATCTCCAAAGTATTTGTTTGTTTTGTTCCGTTGTGTTTGTTTTTCCCATGACATGCAGATGGCAGGGGGAACTCCTTCTGTTTGTCAGTGGCCTGCTCCTGCCGCCGAGGGAGTTTTGGTGGCGTAGTTATCGTGGTGTTTTCATCTGTACGTACCAGCTTGGGCAGTTGTAGGCGTGGGGTGACGGAGCAGCCCAGTAACTCCTTAACGTGGGTGCTGCTCTCAGCAGGGCTGGCATGGCTGAAGCATTTTGCCCAGCTGGCTAGCAGAGCAGATCTCTCTTCTCTAGTTTGCATTGATCTTGTGTCTAGAGACAGTCAGAAGGACAGACCCTCCCTGGGAGAAACCTGTGGGGACATCTCGATGGCTTGCTTTCCCTATACAGCCAGAAAACGCAGCCTCTGCTGTGAGATTTGTTTGGTGACATTAGTTCGCTCCATTAAATCTAGACCCCTCTTAAGAAAGAAGCAAGTCTAGATGCAAGCAAGGTCTAGCTAAGGCCAGCCCACAGACCCCTTGCAGTCTGGCTTCTTAAGACCCTGAAGATGTGGCCTCTTGTCTGCTCGGCTTCGAGCACTGGGCTCGGCTTTTCCAAAACCAGACGAGATCGTATCTAAGTCTTGTTTTCTGCAGAGCAGAGGAAACCACTCCCGTGACACCTTGCTCGCCTGGCAGCGCCCGCAAGCGCTTTGCTTGCCTCCTTGTGCCCAGTCCCCGTGGGCTGCGGCGGGCCATGGGCAGTGCAGGCAGGATGAGCGACGGTGTCGGGCAGCCAGCGAAGGAGCCGCAGGCACAGTGCATCTCTCAGAGCTGTTTTCTAACCAGTCTTTGCACATCTTCCGTTGCTAAAGATCCTGGGCCCTGATTCTTCCGCCACGCTGGTTTTACACCACTCCATGGGCTCCAGTGGAGTCATTCACGGCTTCCTCTGGTGTAAGCCCAGGAAGAATGGGGGCCCCCGATTGTTTAATTTCCATCCCATAACCTGGAATGAGGAATGCCGCAGCATGACCGTTGCCAGAATAACCGGGGACCCCGCAACTTTCTTTTCTTTGTGCTTTTTATGTTTTTTTTTCCTCATCGTACTGCTGTGCGCTAATGGCTTGAACTCTTGTTTTGTCACGGACGTTTCTTACTTTGTGTCCAGTGTACCGAGATCCCCCGCGATGGCCGTGAGCAATACTCGTGTGTGGTACAGACCTCTGCAGCCGCCATCTGGGGTGGTGGGGCGAGGCAAAACGGGGTCCTCAATGTCCCGAAGATCGCCCTTGGGTGAACTCGTCTCGCGGCGATGCGCAGACCTCAAAAACTGCTCGTTGAATGGGGGCACGGGGCGAGATTCATTAAAACAGCCTCAGGAGGTGCTGCTGGCGCTCGCCACATGGTGCCAGGGCAGCCAGAGGTTTTTCCACCGACACGCACGTCAGCAGGGCGAAAAGCCTGCTCCCTCGCCAGAGGAGAGGTGAAAACTGTTTAGTGTGAGGAGGAGGAGGCTGAGGGGAGACCTCGTCACTCTCTGCAGCTCCCTGAAAGGACTTTGCAGAGAGGTTGGTGCTGGTCTATTGTCACAGGGGATTAGTGACAGAACAAGAGGGAACGGCTGGAAACTGCAACAGGGGAGGGTCAGAATGGACATTAGGAAAAAAATTTTCCCAGAAAGAGTGGTCAGAGAGTGGAATAGGCTGCCCAGGGAGGGGGGAGTCCCCATCCCTGGGGGGATTTAAGGGTTGTTTGGATGAGCTGTAGGGGGATGTGGGGTAGGGGAGAGCTTTGTAGAATCGGGCTGAGGGTTGGACTCGATGATCCCGAGGGGCTTTCCCAACCTTAATGAAAAAAACAAACAAACCAACCAAAAAAAAAAAACCAGTTGCAGAGCTAGACTAGGGGTTCGCTAAAATCATTCCTGAATACCCTCCCATGCAGTGCCAACGTAGGGCTTCACGTTGCCCTCTCCTCCTGGCGAGGATCAGCTCTTGGATCAGGACAAGCTCCTGGATCAAGACAAGCAGCCGATCAGTCCCCGGCTGCACTGTGGCTCCCAGGAGGTGTTTGCAGCCACCGGTCAGGCACAGCCCAGTCACAGGAGGATGAAGGACACCCCGACACATCCCCCACTGTGCAGCTGTAGCCAGAGCTACAGCCCGAAGCTGTTTGGGTGCTAGTGGGGGTCTGAGGCCAGGGGTCTGCCCCCAGGGACCCCCGTCCCGCTCCGCTCCTGCCCAGGCCGCACACACGGCCCAGGAGAGCTCCGTGGTCCCTCTTCACTGCACACACCAGTGGCTGCTCTTCTGTCATCAGTCCCTGTCCGCCAAGGAGTGGGTTTTAATTCAACTAAGAGTCAGTCTGGAGAATATTTAATGAGTGGCCAAGATATTCTACCAAAGCTAAAATTTCCTGCCTCTTTTTTGGAGGAATCTCCAATGATTTGGCATCCCGAGCAGTTAGCAATCAGACTTGATGCTCTCAAAGGCTGTGATAGGATCTGGCCCTGCAAGAGCAGATACCCCACACTTCCCAGAGGTGAGACTCACCAAAACGCCCAACGGTTCACACGTAAAACTCACAGGTCGTATTTGCGACCCCTCTCCATGCTCTCTGGCTTTTAATGAATCAGGCCTCCCGTGGCTGGCTGGATGCTTAGTTAATGGTTACGTGCTCGTGAGTGTTTTTCAGGTGGTTGTTGGTTCTTAGCTGTGATGTGTGAAATGTAGTATCTCTTTATAGGATGCAATTTTGAGACACAAGGAACGCCTTACTCTCAATTAGGCAAGTATATTTATTGTAATTAACTGGCACCTACTCCATGATGTTCATCCTTTTTCTTTTCTTTTTTTTTTTTTTTTTCTCTAATCTTTACCTTTTCTTTGGCAACCGAGCAGCATTTCTTGCTCATACCCTCCTTGCAGGGCACTCTCGGATGTCGTGGCAGTAGGCAAATACGGACTTGACTTACGTTGCCGTGTAATGTAAAGGCATTTTGAGTTTTTCCCCCATATGGTTTTAAAAAGAAGCCTGAAGTCAGCGCTCTGGAAGTGGCCCTGTAATTAAGATCCTCCTGCTCAAAGCAATACGTATTCCAGTTCGTTGAACACAGGCCAAATGCCAAGGAGGTGATTAACCCCTCTGCAGCTAATTAGAGCGAACACTGGTGGTAGCTGCTTGCCTGTCCCCTTCAGACTGCCTGCAGGGTCAGGGTTGTTCAGCCCCCTGGGGAGAAGGAGCCCTGTGCCCAGCTGGGTGGGATTTCCTCCTCGGGCAGCTCTCACACCGTGCCGGCCGGCCCGTGGCCGCTCACAGCCCAAGCCCGTCCTCCCTCCATCTCTCCCCACCTTTATGCAAAATGCTGAGAGGTCCGTGCGCTCGCTGGAAAAGCAGGCAAGCAGAAATTGTTTCTCGTTCCTTTCTTTACCCAACTTGACGTGCTGTTTTCTCTCCTGCATGCCTTTCCTTGGGAATGACCACAGTTGACATTAAAAAAATGGTGGCAGGTACGGAATCACCTCCATCCAGTTGCAAAAGTGGGGCGCCCGCGTGCATGTGAGCTGTCTTGTGAAACGATCCAATAAATTGATGAATAAATCTCACCCGAGTGTTTTATTTTTCAAGCCATATTTACTCCTGCAGGCGTGAGAGAGTGTTTTGTGGATGTGTCAGTTCACGTTTCAGTGACCGCTGGAGAAAACCACCTGGGGAACCGGGCTGGTGGCTTGTGAAACCCCGTGCCTCTGTCTTGTCGAGGACGTGACACTGTATCTGTCAGATTTGCAGTGACCGAGTCCCGTGCATTTAAACCAGCAGCTGTACCGAGTCGTGGAGGTTTTCGGGTGTTTTCCAGCCTTCCTATGAGCTAGCTCTTGTCTTATGTGTGGCTGGTTGCTCCTCAGGGAGGTTTCTTGGTGTGACGTAGCATCTCTGTCAATGTAGACCTTTGTGTGTGCTTTTGGTTCTCAGGACTACCAGCCCTCAAACACACACACAGAATTCCTCTGCTAATCCTCAGTCCCCTTCCCACGCTGGGCCTCACCCTGCAAACTGTTGCTTGCATGAGTAACCCTTCATCGCAAGAGTACGTTACGTTAGCTAGAGCCCGGAGACCTGGCCGGCGTCACACGTCTCATCCCTAGGGCCAGATTTTAGGAGATCATGAGGATCCTGCGGGCTCATGAACTCAGACAGACAGACAGCGGGAGGGGACGGAGACAGACACCCGGGAGTCACAAGAGCCAAACTCATCCAAATCCCGGCCCTGAAACCTCAGCCACGCTGGCAGGCCGCAGCCGCACGAGCTCAAAGCATCCCTCCATGCCAGAAGGTGCCCCCTCCGCCGGGCAGCTCCCTGCCTGCTTCCAGCCGCCACGTCAGCGGGCAGCAGCCCGAGCCCCGCCGTGCTCCCACGCTACGTGTCGGCCCTGCATGCAGCATGTGCTGTTCCGTGTCTGCTCCGCGTGGCTCGGTCGCTGCCCCCCCGCCGGACTAACCCGATGTCGTTTGTGTGTTGCAGTTGCTTGGTTTTCTTTCGATCCTGCCTCTGCCCATGCTGACATCATCTTTTCAAATGACAACCTGACTGTCACCTGCAACAGCTATGATGACAGGGTTGTGCTGGGGAAAACGGGCTTTTCCAAAGGGCTCCATTACTGGGAGCTGTCGATCGATCGGTACGATAACCACCCTGACCCAGCCTTTGGCGTGGCACGCATTGATGTCCTGAAGGATGCCATGCTGGGCAAGGACGACAAGGCCTGGGCCATGTATGTGGATAATAACCGGAGCTGGTTCATGCACAACAATTCGCACACCAACAGGTAGGCGCTCTGGAACGGGGTCTTCCTCCCAGAGACCACAGCCCAGTCTCGGCCCGTGGCTTTTCCAATGGCACCTCAGTTGCCCACACACGGCTGACATCGCTCCTAATTGCCTTTTTTAAAGGATGAGCCCTTGCCCCGAGTGAAAGACAGTCCCTGCCTCCCTGGTTCTGCCTTGATCCAATATTCCTTCCCTGCCTACTGCAACTCAGAATCACAAAATCACAGAATCATCTGGGTTGGAAAAGCCCTTGCAGCTCCTCCAGCCCAGCCATGAACCTCACCCTTACCCCAACTCCACCAGATCCCTCAGCACTGGGTCAGCCCGACTCTTCAACCCCTCCAGGGATCCCGGGGACTCCCCCCTGCCCTGGGCAGCCCATTCCAACGCCCAACAGCCCCTTCTGCACAGAAATCCTTCCTCAGAGCCAGCCTGACCCTGCCCTGGGCAGCTTGAGGCCATTCCCTCGGGGCCTGGCGCTGGCTCCTTGGCTCCAGAGACTCATCCCCCCTCTCTGCCCCCTCCTGGCAGGGAGTTGCCGAGGGCCAGGAGGTCTCCCCTCAGCCTCCTCTTCTCCAGACTAACCCCCACAGTTCCCTCAGCTGCTCCACTTTCCGTGTTGACTCTTCCCCCAAGCATGCACGTCACCACCCCCTTCCCGTTAACTCCCCCAAAGCCTCGTGACTCACGCAACAAGAAAACAGCCTTTGCATTTATCCCTGTGCCACTCGCTTTCCCCGCGGCACAGTGGGGGCTTTGAAGCTTGGGGAGAGCTCGGCATCACCTTCCTGCACCCTCAAAGGCCATTTTCTGATGGGTTGACAGGGACATGATGGCAAGCAGGGAGCAACTCCACAGGAGGCTCAAGGAGGAGGAGGTGCCCAGGGACTTGGGAGCGTGGCTGGGATGGGTGCAGGTCATGGCCTGGCTCCTGGGTGAGCCGTGAAGTTCAGCATCATCAGACCTTGAGGTCCATGGGCTGAACACTGAGCTGGGAACAGAAAGAATGTTAAGGCACAGAGATGCTCTGATCTTCTCGCCCACAGAACCGAGGGTGGGATAACGAAAGGCGCCACAGTGGGAGTGCTGCTGGATTTGACCAGGAGGACCTTGACGTTCTCCATCAACGAGGACCAGCAAGGGCCGGTCGCCTTTGAGAACCTGGAGGGCCTCTTCTTCCCCGCTGTCAGCCTCAACAGGAATGTGCAGGTACGTGCGTTGGCCGTGCTCCCTGGAATCACAGAATGATCTTGGTTGGAAAAGCCCTTGAAGCTCCTACAGTCCAACCATGAACCTCACCCTGACCGTTCCCAACTCCCCCAGGTCCCTCCCTGTGGAGCACCATAGCAGCATACTCTGTGCCTGAGCAGACTCCTAACCTGGCTGTCACTGCTCAGCATGGCTGATGCTCAGCAGCGTGGGGACTTTGTGTAGCGGGGAGGGCTCTTGTGCAACAAGGGTGGCTTAGAAAGCACCGGCGAGTCTGTAAAATGAGGACAGGCTTTCCTGCAGACGCAGCCGCTGCCTCCGGCTCCCCGCGTCGTGTTTCTCCATCAGAGCTGCTGAAGGACCAGGGTGCTCCTGCCTTCCCTGCTTGATGGGGTTTGACAACTCCAGTTTGTGATACTACCCCACAAGAGCCTCACCAGCTCTTACAGCTCTCCAAGGACCCAGGCAGGAGCATTGCCAGGGAGAAGGGCACCTTTTAAAGCCTATTTTCCTCTAGGGAGTTTCAAACCCCTCTTCTTTCCCTCTCTCCCAAGCTCTCAGCTGTCCTGTTCATGACCAAGCGGTGGCTCCCTGGGCCTATCTGGTATTTTCACCTTCCATTTTTCTTCTCACTAATCTCATCCCTGCTATCCTCTCCCCCAAGTCCCCTCCACGTTCACTAAGCCTGGCTTTGACACATCCACTCCACCACCGCTTGCACCTCCAGCACTGCACAACTGCCTGGGCACATCCTAGGCCACGTCACACACAGGGGATGACCTCAGGGTATCCAGCATCACGGTCTTCCACAGTGGATGTCAAAGCATCACCTCTGGGTGAGGGCAGAAACACCAAGCAGCCTCTCTAAATTAAGGATCCGTACCTTAGGCCGTGCTCTGCCATGCCTGTTGGGATCCAGGCTGGGCTGTGCTCCAGTACCAAGGCAGTGACAGTGATGGTACCACCCCAGACCCTGGGAGCATCCCTGCCGGAGCGTCCCAGTGTTTAATTAGGAAACATTAAAGCAGCGCATCTTCTCTGCAGTGGTTTTAGAGGTTGCTGTATTAATTTCCTGTGGTAAAAACATCCTGCTCTGTGATGGGTTTAATTCCTACCACAATCTTCTACACGGCCCTAAAAGACAAGTGCGTCTAGAGCCCCTCAGCTTTATGACAGGCCTCTGAGCAAGGCAGAGCTTAAATCCCCTGACAATGGAGAAGGCCCATGGAATGCTGAGAAAAAGCTGCTAATAAACCCAAGCCATCCATTATCCTTCAAATGTCTATGGGCAATTAGAAATGACACTAATTAGGAGGGATATAATTGTATTTTACACAAAGTTTTCTGTAAATCTGTATCTGAAAGGGGAAATGCTGCTGTTCCAATAAAAGAAGGAATTGTGCTTTCCTCCCAAATTAAAGCATTGGTGGAGGGAACTGAATTACCCACGCGCATGGGAGGGTATTTGCAGGATGTGGCCCCTGGCCTGGTCAGTCCATACAAGCAGAGCCTGCCCATATCCCTTCCTACAGACCAGAGGTTTTTCTGAGGCACAGGGAGCGTCAGGTCTCCAGTATTTCCCTTTCCCTTTGTGGCTGTGTTGCAGTCTCTGCCGCATCACTCCCCATCTCCAGGTGATGGGAATCCCTGATCTGATACCGTGACATTTCTACATACTTGATTCAGCTCTGAAGAGTCCAACTCCTCCTACAGGCACTTGAGAACTTGTGGCAGGATGGCCAAAGGTAGCTGATACATGAACAAAAGTCAATGAAAAGCAGCTTTGAAGTGAAAAAAATAAGTTGTGGCACACAGGATGTCATAGAGCCATTTACAGTGTCAGTGCTAAGGTTTCCATACAGAACGCAATTTTCTCTTATAATTCACAGAGATTAGAAAGGTTCTCTGGGTAACACAGATGAGTTGAAAGGAAGAAAGTAGGAAAAGTCTTGACCAAATTTCAGTCTAGCAAAACACTTAAGCATATGCCTAAAGTCAAACTATTTTTTTCTCCTCGGATTCAAGCAGAAGATGCAAACAGAGTAATCTCTTGTATTTCATCTCTTGGGAGGCTCTGACGCAGGCTGAACCCAGAACATAGTATCTGGTTAAAAAGCATGATTTAAATGATTTAAAATGATGCATTTTTTTAAAGAAGCCATATAGCAACCATTTATAATAACAAAAGTGGCAAAGTAGTTAGGGATGAGACAACACTTAAGTCTGAAAAGCTGTATGATATATAGGTGCCGGGCCGAGCTCCCATTTTCAGAAAATCCTACAATGGTTTGGGTTGGAAGGGACCAAAAAAGGTTGCACTTGAGCATCCCCCCCTCGCCATAGCATGGCCCTGCCCCAGCACCCTGCTGCTGCTCAGCTTCCCCGCTGCGAAGGTCCTTCCTGCCGCCAGAAATCGGCCACATCCCCTCTGCTGTACAGCCCGTACTCAGCTCGGGGGCTTCTTGGGGGTCTCCTTTTGTACAGAGCAGCTTTGCTGTCCTTCAGGCCCCTCCACACCATTTTTGTCCACCCCATTTGCAGAAAGACCCAACTGCTGCTGTGTCCCACCTCTCCGTCAGCTGGCTCTTGGATTAGTCTGGGAATATTTGGGGCTTGGTACCGCTGGCACCAGCAGTCTTGCTTCACGCCAGAGCTGCGTAGGGGATCCTGCAGCACAAACGAGTCATGAAGCTGTAAGATGGAGCCACCACCATCCTGGTGATGGCCTTTCCCACCCCCCAGGCCCCCGCCGCAGCCGGGAGGATGTGCAGTGGGGCAGGAGGAGCAGTGGGTTCACAGATTCATCTGGGTTGGAAAAGCCCTTGCAGCTCCTCCAGTCCGACCATGAACCTCACCCTGACTGTTCCCAACTCCCCCAGATCCCTCAGCGCTGGCTCAGCCCGACTCTTCAACCCCTCCAGGGATCCCGGGGACTCCCCCCTGCCCTGGGCAGCCCATTCCAACGCCCAACAGCCCCTTCTGCGAAGAAAGCCCCCCGCAACGTCTCTGGTTGCATCCTGCCTCTCCCCCGGGCACTGCCCCTGCCCTCCCTGGGGTCGGTGTGCCAGGCTGCCGTACCGTGTCTCTCATTGCAGGTGACGCTGCACACCGGCCTGCCCGTCCCCGAATTCTACGCTTCGCGCTCAGCCATGCCCTGAGGATGCTCCCGGAGCCGGCTGCCTCTTCTCGGGACCAGAGAGGAGCCAGCCCGTTCCCTCCTGCGGGACGAGGCCAGTCGCTGAGCCGCCGGGTCCCTGCTCGGCCGCCGGCCGGAGACGGGGAGGCAAAGCGGGAAGGAAGAATCTGGCTTTTGGCTGTCTCTGATCTCCACCCTCCCGCACTGTCCTGTGTGTGTGCGCTTCGCTGTTTAGCTCTTTTTGGCTGATGAAGTACCTAGGTAGCCTGAGATGTTCCTCTGTGTCCGCTTTTAGGTTTGGTTTTATTGATTTGAGTTGCGGTTTGGGCCGAGGGGGGGGCAGTTTAGTCTCGTTTGGCAGAGTGCTTTCCCCTCCCACGCCAGGGGGGTGACTGGAGGGACCCCCACCACGGGAAAGCTTTCACCCGCGCCAGCCCTGTTACTTTGCAAGATATTTTTTTCCCCCGTGGCCTTTCTTGCAGAGCGCCCTCAGTCACGTGTAGAGGTGGGTCCTGGATTACCAGTCAGTCTCCACGCCCTTACCAAAACGCCCAGCCCCTTGATCCCCCCGGCCCTGAGGCATTTCTGTGGGGCACAGGGGGGACACCACCCTGTCCCTGGGTGCTCTGGGTGCCAGCAGACCCTCAGTCCAGCACCGAGCACCCATGCAGTGCTCTCCCCCGGCTCCCCGCAGCCCGGCACACGCCACAGCCATACGCCAGAGAGCCCTCGCCCGGCTCTTTGGAGATTAGTGTTTATTTTTTTATAGTTGCCATATAAAGCCTAGCCTTAAATACTAACTGATAGTGTCCTTCTGTTCACCGGAGAATTCATTCTGCAGTGAGGCTCTTGACGGGGAGCCCGGCGATGGGGATGAGGAGGATGGGGATGGGGAGGAAGGAGAGCTGGCCACAGCCCTGCCACGCACTCAGGAATACGCACCCGCTGCCCTGCCTGCGCCTGCTGCCGGCAGCAGTTCCCGTCAGCCTCCCCCCCCCAACTTTGACTTTCTGGTAATTCCGAGGCAGGAGAGGAGCAGGAGGAGATCATGGGCGCCATGCCTGGTGCCAGCCCCCCCAGTTCCCGTGCCGAGGCCGCCTGCACACCCAACGTCCCCACACTCCGCTCGTCGCTCCCTCGCTGTCTCCCGGCGAGGCTGGCGGAGCTGGGGGAGGCGGTGGGATGGCCCCGGCGGGGTGCCAGCGTGCCCAGCCCGGCCGGGGAGCTGCAGCTCCTCGAAGCGGGGTGGGCTGGGATGCTGCGGGGGTACCGCTCCGGCAGAAAGTGTAAATAGACCGTTCCCTTCCCATGTGCCCTCTAGGACGGTCCCTTTCGTTCCCTTGTTGCTCTAGTATTAAGTTTACCTAATTTATTGGATGGGTGCTATCTTGTTGACTTACACCGAGGAGTTTCTCTCAGCTGCAGGAGAGCTGTGTTGCGGGACAACGCCGAGCAGCTCTTTGGTGAATTCCTGACGAGCCCCCGTGGCCGGCTCACCCGGGGCTCCTCTCTCAGCCGTTATCCCCCCTTTCTTTAGGATGTTCATGGTGCTTATTAGACTCCCAGTGATTGTAAGACGTCGTCCCCCTGTACTGCAATGATAGCTGCATACAGCCGCTCTACTGAAGAGAAGTGTCATGTTTGCTGTTCTAAATAAAGGACTTTTATGAGAGATGGGCAGAGCTTCCCAGAGCATCTCTGTGCCACCACAGCCCCCCTGCCATTCATCACCCCGGTGTGGGTCACCAGCACATCCCTGTGCTGTCCCCGTGGCGGCAGAGAACAGAACTCGGTTCTTGGGAGGGAGCAGAATCCCAGAATCATCTCAGTTGGAAAAGCCCCTGAAGCTCCTCCAGCCCAACCATGAACCTCACCCTGACCGTTCCCAACTGCCCCAGATCCCTCAGCGCTGGCTCAGCCCGACTCTTCAACCCCTCCAGCGATCCCGGGGACTCCCCCCTGCCCTGGGCAGCCCATTCCAACGCCCAACAGCCCCTTCTGCACAGAAATCCTTCCTCAGAGCCAGCCTGACCCTGCCCTGGGCAGCTTGAGGCCATTCCCTCGGGGCCTGGCGCTGGCTCCTTGGCTCCAGAGACTCATCCCCCCTCTCTGCCCCCTCCTGGC